CCTGTAGTATTAATAGTTGCATGTGCTGATTCACTAGCATTTGTTGTAAATGGAGAATTAATCCAAATATCATAAGACATTTTGGTAAATGCTGGTAATAATGCCACTAAAACCCAGGTTTGTTTTTTATCTCGAACCCAATCTAAAAAAATAAATAATATTAATATCTATTTAAAAATTATCAGCCTAATTTATAGCATTAACTAATTTTAATATATATTAGCTATAATAATTAATATAATCAAAATTAATATTACCTGTAACGGTTTTAATATTATATTTTTCAAGATTATCTAAAAGCTTAATTACTTCATGTGGTGTTTTTATTGTTATAAGAGAATGCATTTTTTTTTTTAATTTCTTTTGATATTCCGGATTTATTTCTAATATTCCTATAAATAAAATGATTAATTATAAATTTTATTTTAAAGACGATTACTATTTGTACACCAGGTGTATATACACACATATTGATATCTCGAAATTTTGATTATAAAACCCACTTCGGGGTTCTAACAAAAAGATTCCTTGCAAAATTTTAGTATAAACTATAACCTTCTCTAACCCTAAAGCTACCCTCACCCTAACCTTAAACTATATTAATTTTCATTTACAATTTATATATTAAACAAATTCGTAAATCAATAAATTAGTATGTGTGTATATACACCTGGTGTAAATTAAGTAATTTTCTATTTTAAAATATAAAATTTTAAATTTAACCTTTTAAAATATATAGTACAAATTTTGTAAATTCATTCTAAATATTCAGTTAGACTAAATATAGGATATTTTTGGTTTAAATATTGTTCAAGCCCTACAAAAAATTTAATTTAAATATATAAATATTATAATTATAATATAAATTTATAAATTTAAAATTATATAATCAAATTTTAGTTATTTTTAGTTAAAAATTTTTAAATATACAATGTATTTTAAAATATAATAAAAATAAAATTTAATAAATATAAAATATAACTTAAATAAAATATAATTTAGCAAATATATACTATAATTAAAATTTGACAATATAATATACTAACCTAAAGCTTGACCACGATACTTATCTGCCAGTATACATCCAATACCACAATTATGAATATAATAAAAATTTACTAGTTTTTTAGTATCATATTCAATACATAAAAATAATTCTTTAAAAAGTCGTTGATATGCTTCAGCTGTTTGCAAAATAGTAAATACTTGTGCAAAAGTCAAAGCTTAATTAAAATATTGTTAAATTATTAGATTATTTATTAAATATTTAATTAAATTTAATAATAATTTTTATAACATACTTTTTTTATAAGTTTCACTATATGTGCATATTTTCTATTCATTAATAGGACCATGAACTCATTTGAATGACATATCAATTTCAATATATTTTGAATTTCTAAGACCTTCAATTTGTATTTTGTATCCATATAATATAAAATATTAACTATCATTGAGTAATCCTTAAATAAAAATTATATATTATTAAAGAAAATAACTATATTTTACCAGTGGTGATTTCTCTACCCTCTTATATTATACATAACAGTGATTTACATGAAACCATGTGATCACTGATCTGTATATTATTTTTTTTATATTAATCTTCTTTTTCTGATGATATAAGTTACTAAACCCTTTTTTTTTTCTTATATAGCTTCGTTTCCTTTCCTGTGTCATCGTTAATTTCATCATTTTTTGGTGTTATCGTTTTTTTGGCATTGTCATTTTTGGTGCTGTCGCGTCATCATTTTTTTTGATTAGTGGCATTTCTTAGATGTTTCGATTTTGCTGGTACCACCGCTTTGGTGTCATTGTATGCTGGTGCCCCTGGTGCCATTGTCATTTTTTGGTATTGTTGTTGTTGATAAGTGGTGATTTTGTTATTTTGTATAGCTTGTTGTTATCGTATGCTGGTGCTGTGCTAACTTCTCGCTCTAGTGTATCATCTTTTGGAGTCTTGTTTATGTTAAGGTTAGGGCCAGAGTTGGGAATCAGAGGGAAGTAGTTTGCATAGTATATTTGCTCGATGAAAACTTTTTATTAGAGTATTAAAGGTGATTTCTTATGCTGATTTTTGAGAGGTAATCGATTTTTGACAAAATGGACGTTTGTTTTGAATTTTCTTGATCATGCTATGTTTCACCTAATCTTGAAATCTGATTCTTTAAAGTTTGTTTATGTTAGAGTTAGGGTCAGAGTTGAAAATCAGAGAAGAGTTGTTTACATAGTATAATTGCTCGACGAAAACTTCTTATTAGAGCATTAAAGGTGATTCTTTATACTGATTTTTGAAAGATGAGCGATTTTTGACAAAATAAATATTTGTTTTGAATTTTCTTGATCACGTTACATTTTGTCTTATCTTGAAATCTGATTTATAATAGTACAGCAAAAATTATTTAAATGTAGATTTTTAGAGGTAAGTAATTTTACAAAAGGTCATTTGTTTTGAATTTTCTTGATCATATTACTTTACACCTGTTCTGAAAATTTGCAGCACAAACCTGACACATATTGAAGAATTGGGCCGATATGTATTGGTGATGTATTTAGATTTTTTTTTGGTGTTGCCGCTTCTTGTATTTAATTTTGTCTTATATATAGAGATGGGCCAATGTGTATTTTTGCATACACATTAATCAGAAAAATGCGCATTTTTCCCATCAGAGATTTATATGTAAAAATTTGTTAGCTTCGGTACAAAAGTAATACTATAGATAAGTTAATGTACTTTCATGTATGTGTATGAATATGCATCTATATATATGATTCTATTTCATTTACGTGATATTTAAATAAAATTTTATAGCTATTTAACTGTGTTAAGCATTAATTCAGCTGGCATTAAGATAATTTTGACCCATGACCAATGTAATGTGGGCTGGAACTATGAAATAGCTTTTGTGCCAAATTCTTATTATGTCTTAAGTCTAAAAATCTAAATATATTATTCTTTGTAACGTATATAAATAATTGAATAACAATTTGAAATTAGATTAGATTTTGTTTAGCAAAAAGCACATATTCATACACAGTTTTCTGAAAAATATGCATTTTCCCTATCTCTACTTACATACAATGATATACACTGAGAATTTTATTGAAATTAACTATCTTTGAAGTTCAGATTAGAATAGTTGGTTTTAAAAGTTTAGACTGGGCGGGTTGGCTTTAATGGTCAGGGTTAGACAGGTTAGTTTTGAGAATTAGACAAGTTGTCTTTAGAGATTAGGGTTAGGCAAGTTAGTTTTAGAGGTTAGGGTTAGTCAGATTTGCTTTAAAGGTTAGGGTTAAATAGATTAGGTTTAGTGATTAAGTGTGTTAGTTTTAAAAGATAATGTTAAGTAGGTTAGCTTTAAAAACTAATAGTAGATTGGTTTTAAGGATCTATATTAATTAGATTAGTAAATATATATAGTTACATAGTAATTTATTATTATATATATTTATATTGTATAATATATATAACTATATTATATTATTTATGGTGGTGGGGAAATCACCACTGGTAAAAAATAGCAATTCTCATTATTAAATTATAATAATATAAAATTAATATTTAATTAAAAATTTTATACTTACTAATTGTTCTAATATATGGATTCTTATTAGATTGCCTCATTAGTAAATATGCAACTCTATAAATATTTTGTCTACAAGGATGTTCTGCATATTTTTTTGATACAATTAATGTATTAATTTTTGAAAGATTATTTAAAGACAGATGTAATTGAGGTAATAGAACTCCTTTTAAATATGAAATTAATATAGGTTCTATTAAATAATAACAATATTAATATTTAAATTAATTTAATTACAAAAATTAAGTTAAAATATTTATGATTTAAAAGTCTATGTGCTATAAGGTCCAATATATCCTCATTATAAATTATATCTTTTAAATCATTTAAAATTAATTTAGTTATTTTAGTTGGTAGTGGTACTGGATAATTATAAATTTCTCTTGATAAAATAATAATAAATAGACATTTTTCAAGATTTTTTGGTATATAATGCCAGAATTGAACAGAACATTGTAAATCAGGTTTTTGAATAACTTTATGAGTAATTTCATTATTGGTTGTTATATGTAAATATGCTATAAAATATAAATAATTAATAATATTTAATAAATAATATTTATTTATTTATTTATTTATTTAACTTATGACATTTTTTTGTTAAGCACTAAAAAGAAGTATAGTATAACAATATTGTATAGCCTTAGACTAACAAAATAAATATTAATTAATATAAAATAATAATATAAAAATTAAATAAATATTAAATATATAAATATTAACTTTACTAAAATGCACCAGTGGTGTTCAACACCATATATTAAAACAAAAATTTAAAAAAAAATTAAAATTTAGCTAATATTAAGGTTAGGGTTATTAGCTAGGATTGGGAAATATAGATTATTATAACCAAAATTTTGCAAGAAATTTTTTTTATTAAGACATAAAAAGTGGTTTCATAAGCAAAATATCGAGTTATTAAGATTTTTTAAAAATTAAAGAATTGTTTTAATTTTTTATGTTATACCTGATCTTGACATTACACCACAAATCAACAATTTTATTGGTTAAAATTACTATGGTGTTGAACACTACTGGTGCATTTTAGTAAACTCGATAAATATTATACCTTATTATTAATATTATCCTTATAATATGAAAAATCTTGAAATAATTGTCTCAAATAATTAATATTTATTTTTTGTGATAAATATCTATGTCCTCTTTTACCATATTTATAATTTTGACATCCAATAAATAATTTGGTGAGGAAATATCTTCTTCACACTATTAAAGAATAATTTAATAATATTATAAAATATAATTATAAATAAATTATATATTTAATATTAATACCTGATAATGTTTTGCTAAAATTGGCTTTCCATTACATCATATTTGGGTTAATTCATTATAATATTTACAAGAAATTTTGTGTGCAGCAACAAATTCACTAAAAAATTTTTAAAATAAA